ATCCCTATACTCTTTATCTAGCATATGTTCTAGATGCTAACTTATAGGAAATCCATTGTTTTAGATTCACAGTGTTGTGCCATATTCTGCCATGCTGTGGAAGAAAATGGATCTTGGCTTTCGTGTGAATACAGAAGTTAGACAATCCACATTTTTTTAAAAATATATATATTTTTTAGTTTAGTTGGACACAATACCTTTATTTTTATGTGGTGCTGAAGATCGAGGGCATCGCACATGCTAGGCGAGTGCTCTACTGCTGAGCCACATCTCCAGCCCGACAATCCACATTTTTATCAGAACTTTTAATGCTGAATATTTCAACAAGAACCCTTACAATTTTAAAAATTCTGACATTTAAATATGAAGTTATTATGTTGAAAATTCTGTTTACTATATCCAGTTAAGAACATTTCAGAAGAGATTATAAAGATTTGTATTTCTAAATGCAGTTTTATGATTCCTTTAAAGAATGTACCTGAACTTCCGGACACTACAGAGCATTCTAGAACTGACCTGTCACGTGATTTAGCAGCACTGCATGAGATTTGTGTGGCTCATTCAGATGAACTGAGAACACTCAGTAATGAGCGAGGTGCACAGCAGGTAGGTTTTTGCCAGCTACCATTAACAATGATGTTTTATTAACACTTAAGCAAAAATATCAGCATAAGACTCTGAGATGTAGTAAATAACTAAATTCTGATCAACATTTTAATAGTTATTAAATTTTTAAGAATCAACCAAAAAGATCTCAGCAAATAATAAAGGGCCCAGACTAAAATACTTTTGATACTGCCAAATAGCAGAGCTGCTCTAGTCTAAATTTTTAACTCTACTAAAAAATGATGGTGTAACACTTTCACATAATGGCATATGTGAAAATGGCAAGTGAACTGATTAATAGTGTTATTTTTAAAAATTTTTATTTCAGTTACTCTCTCTCATACGGAGTACACAGCCAAAGTGATTCTCAAATTATGAAACATGAGAATTATTAGGGAAGTCTGAAATAATTACGTATTTCAAATTCCATATCCAGAGATTTTGTGGTGGGCTTTTGAAACTACATTTCTAATAAGCTTTTACAATGATTTAAATACAAGTGGATCATAGCTCATACTTTAAGAAATACTACTTGATATTATTAGACTCAACATATACAGATTGGAATACTACTCTAAGTCCTTTAAAATTCTGGTTCCTCTTTATCTTGAAGCAGAGAACAAAATGAATTATGTTTTGTATGGCCTGAACTGAGATAAGGGCTACTTTCAGGAAGTTAAGTGGGAGCAGTTTTATCAAAGTGCACACTACATATACAGTGAATATTATTGTTACACTGGATAATCATTTGGGATTTTGCAAAAGAAATTAAAGCAGTGCATTTAGTGATTGGGTTGTCTTCAACCTGGTATTCTAGATATTTTCTTTTTTCCAAATTAAGATAATTGTCTCCCTCATTAGAATTCTACTTTAGAATTTTTTTGATAACTTTAGGTTTTTAATGGCAAATATGTATTCTGGCAAGATGATCTATCTAGAGATTATTCTAGGAGATAACAAAACACAAACAAATTTTTGTTATTCTTTATCTTGGTCACAACTAAACATACTCAAAGTCTGAATAATAGGAACCCAACGATTTTATGCTTGGGGTAGATTGCTAATGAATCTGTTTTATGAATTCCTTTTCTTTGATGTGGCTCCTTTCAAATACAGATTCCCAACCTGAATTTCAGCCCAAGCTTTCATTTATTTACTAATTATTTTCACACTGTTTCTTTCTGTCTAGCATGTACTGAAAAAGCTTCTGGCTATAACAGAACTGCTTCAACAAAAACAAAACCAGTATACAAAAACCAATGATGTCAGGTAGCAGCCTTTGCCTCGGTGATCTGCATGGATTCAGCATGCCCAACATGGTAATTCACATCAGTATAATTGTCTCCTTTGCTCTTGCCAAAAAATAGCACACCTTTCCACATTCCAGTGATGTGTGAGCTATGCAAACAAAACCCAAGATTCTGTCGGTAATAACTGTGCCAGCCATTTTGTAAGCTATCTGTGCAGGATATTTGCACTTTTTCCACATGGAATCTTTACCAAACTCTGAGCCTTGGTGTACAGATCACCTTTCACAAAAAATGCTATGACTGTATCTTGAACTTTGAAAATATATTTTCAATACACCAATTGCCAAAGTGTTGCTGTCTCTCGGAAAAAGAACTATGAAAACAACTGAGGAGGAAAAGCATTCTCTATTGACAATTGCGTATAACTGGATTGCAGACTGTTCTTACTGTAATTCCTTCCTGTTTAGGAATATGACCATTTGACTGTTCAATGACTTCATTTGTATTTACAGTTTCCAGAGTTTGCCATTATAATAGGAACAATCTTTGCTGTATACTTTTTAAAAATACTGTGCTATTTCTCTTTCTGGAACTGTTGAAAGAAAATATATAGAATTGATCTATTGCTCATCAGCTTTATTTTTTAAACATACCACTTATTTTGTTGAAATTGTCAAAGACTGTATTTAGAGCTTGTAATGCTTTTGTTAAATGTTTACAACAGTAAATAGCTTGAACTCAGTAAATATTACTGGTCATTGTACTGAATGCACGTTACTCTTTCAGACATTTTATAAATTACCAGTTTTGTTTTGTAAAAAAATGCTCCAATGCTTTTAATTACAAGTTGATTTTTCTATGTTACCCCTTTGTGCAAACAACCTCATCAGCCACTAAACAACTAATCCATCTCTGATCTGACTACTTGTTGCATCTGCTGGATATTTAGTTTGACTATATAGTTTTATTTGCTTATTTGTGTATTTTTGTGAAATATTCACAAGGGTTAAGTTAAAATAAAACCAAGGGATATCTTGCATAATTGATTAATTATATCTAAATATAGCTAAGCATTTAATTTCATTATTTTCTTCTTCCTTTAGGGGCAGTTCAAACTTTAGCACCAGAGCAAGGCCCAGGGAGAAGATGAAACTTCAGTCAGTATTTTTGCTAATGGTCTCTTTTGAAAAGGGTTCCATTTATTCATTCCATATGTATTTTTTTTTTAGCAACATCTCCTTCCTTCCCATTACTGGACAGGGGAGATAAGACATATGAACTATTGTTAGTAAACAGTTTTGAGTGAGACAGGATCCAAGCAAGGTATGAAGACCACCAGTTCACATAGTAATGAAAAGTTTTCTAAAGGCCTAGATTTCAAGAGCAACACTTGAATCTACACCTGATATGTATGAGTGAAAATGATGATTTGTAATCAAGGGTTTATTTTTCTTTACAGTGCAAGGAACAGAACCTAAGGCTTTGTGCATGCTAAGTAGGCAGTGTTCTACCACTGAACTATGCCCCCAGTCCCAAGATTTAAAATATGGATACTTAGTATCATTTTTCAGCCATTATCAAGGCAATTATTTCTACAGAGTCAGTTAGCTTTATGGTAACCGATGATACCAAAAAATACATCCTGTACTCCTTTTCCTTGATATCAATGCGTTTCATTCTCTCCTTTGTTATTTCTTTATCCTATCACTTCTTTCCTCTTTTCCATTTCTTCTGTTTTTTTGGCTAGAGTTCCACAGTTGGTCTATTTTCTGTAGGTTTACAGGATAGAAGACTAAGAGATAAGGACTAGTGATATCTCCTAACATGTTTTAACAGGAAAAAAGGTCTGCACTCCAGTTCAAGGGATTGTAATTCCCTCCCAGTAGACATACCTCAGTCTATAGCCATACAAATTTATCTGCCATTCTGTAGTCTGAAATGCTTCTCCCTTTTCTGCCACTTAACTAAAAGCAGAAACCTGAAAGACTTAAGAGACTCCCTTAAATTGGAATGGGAAACTTTTTACTTACCTTTGTAGACCCTATAGTAACTAGGTGATCAATGTTATAAAATCTCTCAAACGTTAATTTTTTTTAATGGGGCTGGGTAGGAAATTTTCAGAGATAAATGTGGACCTTGCTCTGATGCCAAGGTTTATTGATCTGAAAGGAAAGGAAGACATAAATTGTGAACACTTTGGAATTCTATTTTGTGTCTAGCATAGTACCATTTAACCTGAACTATATTGGAGAACCATAAGCTTTGGCTTCTAGTTTTTGTCAAGTCCCATTTTGTCAATTTTATTCCATTCATTCCAGAATAAGAAAGAAACAAAACAAAAAACAAACCCAAAATCTCAAGCCTAAAATATAAAGAATTATTAGAGATGGATACGCACATAATAAATACTTCTGTCATATACCAAGACAAAAGTAAACTGCTACCTACCTTCATAGACAGTGCAGCCTGGGATGCGCCAAGTCTGAAGTGTGTGTGTTCACACAATTGAATTAGATTCAGGGCAGTTGAGTATTAGCATATGCAGACACTGCTTAATCCTATGAGGAGTGGACATTATCTTCCTGTTTTCAACTTGGAAAATTGGTACACAGAGGTTTAGTAACTTAAAAGGTCATATGGCAAAGAAGAGACAGCCCTGATAAATACCAAAATAATTTGATGCCATATTCTTCAAAACTACTAATAACTGTAACACCTATTTGTCTGGATTCATATAAGGTACTATAGTAGATTATAAGTAAATTCTTATCTAGACAGCTACTCAAGAATGCATATTGGATTTTTAAAAAATATATTTGGAAATGTTTTCTGATAACTAATTAAGGACAAAAAAAAATTCACTACCTAGGATGACTGCTTTTCATTACCAAGTAATAGTTGCAGTATGTTGTGCAATTCAGTAGTTATGCACAAATAAGTGTATCAGGCTAGCATTTACAAAAGTTTCCAGATGGCAAAACACACTCCTTAGCACTTTTAAAGGTGACCACTAAGTTTGGATTTTTGCAAGACCTTTTTTCAACTTATCACATTTTGTTTAAAACAATAAACACATTACAGTTTTAATTTGATACTAGTTGTGGTGGGGAGGCATGATTGTTCAAATTAATTCCTTCCATTTTGGCTTTTATAAAGACATTTTTTATACAAAGCAACTTCACAAAAGGAAAATAACAAAAAAAGTTTAATATATTTTGATATTTTCACATTATACTTTTTGAATAAAGTGCCACATACGCTTCCTACTTCTGCTACTTTCGCTAGCACTGACAATATTGACTTCAAATGGTTAGAGAGAATCTACTAGGTCGTCATCAGTCCATTCTTCCTAAGAAGGAAAAAACAGAAAAGAAAACCTGTTAAGGATAAGATGTTGAAACAAAATCAGTGTATTTTACCTCCTTTCCTCTCCTTAGGAAAATATTCTTTTTCCTATGCTTATAGAAGATAAAACAGGAAAGTTCATCATAATCTTAATAGTAATACTGGCATGATCTCACCAGAGCACTCTAATCAGGAGTAAAGCTTATACTTGTGACCTTTTGCCTCTGATTTTTCATTTTATCTCTGGCTTGCCAATTTTAAAGAAAAGAGACAAGGGAAGAATTCTTGGAGAATAAGAAACAAAGCAAAAACTTAGCATGTGTTTGTATCCCTGCTGCCTTCTAGGAACATAGGAAAGATTCTTCATCAAATAACTATTACATGCTTCAGAACAGGCTAAGGCAAGCAAGAAAAATCCCTTATGTAATGGACAGTATACAGAAAGAAGTATGCAAAAAATGAAGACTTGGAAAACCTAAATCTCCATCATAATCCAGAACAATAAATCTCAACTATATGTCATACCAGAATGTATGAGTTAAAGTTCATTTTGTAGTAAACATACCTCTTCATGTTTGGATTTCTTTGATACATAATCATCATCTTCATAACCTTTCCTCTTCTTTCTGTAATTAGGCAATTATCAATAAGCAATCTGGTATTGGAAACAGAAACTAAAAAATATAAACTGGCAATAAACTAACAAGGGTAATCTGAAATTTTATGTAATAAAGAACAGGGCCTGGATAAGTGGAAAGAAAAAGAATTATGGAAAGACATTACTTTTCAAATCAATGTTTAAATTGAATGCAGTTCTAATTAGTTTTTTTTTTTTTTTTTTTCTTGGAACATGTCACTCTACCACTGACAAAGGAAAGATTATGGGAAGAGAATCTGAAAAAGAATAATATTATCTTAGTTATCATAAAAAGAAACTAAAAACTAAGGTAATTAAAAGCATATTATTAAAAACTATACATCAATGATCAAAGAAGGTAGGAAATGACTATATACATAGGAATTTAATCTGTCAAAGAATAGTTCAATTAAATGGGAAAAAAAATATTCAAAAGCAATCGGGGAGAAAAATATTTGGAAAAAATTTACCAAATTCATAATCAATTCCAAGTGGTTTTACAAGCTGAACAAAGAGAAAAATACTAAAGACATTCGGATATACAATTATAAAGCAAAAGAAATCATATATGAAAAAGTGAGAACAAACAATAAAATAGTTGAATCATATAAAAAGATGAGCATACAGAACTTATATAAAGCATTATAAAAACACCAGAAAAGTGGGAAAGGTCATAAGTAGCCAATATGGAAGAAATATAAATGTTAAACATGGAAATATTAATGCCTCATTGTAACCAGGGAAGTTCAAATTAAAATACAAATGTGAAGGTTTTTTTCACCCACACTGGCAAAGATTAATATAAGTGTTGTACAATATGTATGACAAAATACAAAGGGAAAACAGATATACTTATTTCAGACACAGACAGACAGACAGACACACACACACACACACACACACACCCTGATAAAAGTTGGCAACAAATAATGATAAGTTACTTCTGAGATCCTGAGATTTGGGTTTTGGTCAAAGGGACCTTTGATTTAACCCATGTTGACTGACTGACAATATAGTTCTTGTGTAATGAAAAAAAAATAAATTTAAAGGTCAAAGAACAAATATTTTGTCTTAAAGTAGTACTACTCATAGTGTGGTTCTTGAACTGTTTCCAGTTTGCAGTGAGATAAGTAGTATAGAAATTGTGTATTTAGAAACTTTCATATCAATTTAACAGAACAATTTTGACTGTTCATAATAAAATTTAAACTTATATTTTTGTATGTCTCATTTTTCTAGCAAATCATTTTTTATTATATTTTACAGAAGTATGTCTTAAATTTTTTAGAAAAATATTACAATTTGAAAAGCAGTCTTCAGGTGCTCATGTACAATCTCAATTGTCAAAGAGTCTTAAGCAGATGATAACTTGGAGTAAAATGTAAAATTCTGGCAATCAGGAATTTTGAATGAGTTGCTTAGCAAGAATAATAGTTTAATAGTCTAAATAAAGCAGTGGTTGAAAACTTTCTTTAAAGGGCCAAAGAGTAAATATTTTAGGCTTTGCAGGCCATATAATCAGTTTGTCACAACACTCAACTTTCCTGCTATGACATGAATACAGCTATAATAATACGTAAACTAATGGGTAGCTATGTTCCAATATAAACAAGTGAAGGCTAGATCTGGCTGGTAGGCCACAATCTGCCAATTCCTGGCTTAAGCCCATTTCAAAATCAACCTGAAAACCCAATGAGTTCTCTAATACTTTTATTCACTAAAGTAAATGTTTTTATTTCTTTATAACCTTCTAACACTCTATAGTTACTACTGAAATCTGGGAAATTGGTGTAATTTACCAATTTCAAGATCTATGCTAAGCCATGCAAGTTATAGCTATGATTATAATAAAATAGTATCTTAGCTGAGCACAGTGGCGCACACCTATAATCCCAATGGCTTGGGAGGCCAAGCAGGAGGATCACAAGTTCATAAATAGCCTCAGCAACTTAAAAAAAAGGCGAGGGTTGGGGGGCTGGGGATGTGGCTTGGTGGTTAAGTATCCCTGGGTTCAATCCCTGGTACCAAAAGAAAAAAAATAGTTCTTTAATTTGTACACTCCATACATTCCTGGATATTCCCCTACTACAACTGTACAGTTAAGGAATTCTGAGTCATAATACCTGTTCTGAATGTTCTGAAAATGTCATTCAGGATTTTCATACATATCCATTAGCATATATTCACCAAATATAGGAATCAAAATATTTAAAATACATCTTAACTCTCAGAGGCCACAGCTAACTCCCACTATAAATCTTAATAAAGTAGAAGAAATTTCTAATTAGAATGCAATCCACCAAAGATGTAGAACATTTTAGTTTCATCATTCCTATCATCTAAAGTTTAAGTGGATCCTTTATATAAAACAGTGTAAATTTTATGGTTATTCCACATTAGCCTACAAATTAAGAGACATTAAGGATATTCCCGTGGCTGTAAGAAAAGATCTAATAGCACATTTTCCTATTGGTTCTATCTTCAATATAATTTGTTACTGAAAGAAACTATTAAACCATATGCTTGCTCCTCAGAGCAAATGGCAGGAAAAGGTTCAGGAGTTCTCTAGAAAGCCTGCCCACTGATTTCCTACAAGGAGAAACAGAATAGGAAAAGACCTATAAGCCAAAGCCATTGGTGAAAGCAGAATCAGAACTGTACAAGGGAAGCCAAATCAATTATTATGTTTAATCCTATTAGAAATGTACTCAGCTAAAAAAAAAAAAAAAAAAAAAAAATCTGATCAACAAGTCAGTTTTTCCCACACGAACAAATTTTTACAATAAAATTACAGTCTTAAAACTAGTTGGATTAGATAACAGCTATAAGTATATCTGAATAATTCTTTCTACTTACGTAATTACATTAAGTGCAAACTCTGCAGAATGACATCGCTCCAACTTCTGTTTTAGAATGGCAACTTCTTCAGATCTGGGTGGTTCATACTTTTTCACTAAGTTTCTCATGCCTGTGTGGAGATAAAAAATGATTTACACTGAATTACAAAAAGGTTTCTCATGGTAAAGGGAGTGAATAATAATCTCCCGTCTTGTTATAGCAAATCACAAAAAAACACTCGACATGATTAACAGGATTTGTTATTCTGGATTAAAATCCAAGAAGTACCACACTTAAATTCCAGTAATTTATAGCTGACTGCTCTTTATGCCATCTATGTGGTACATAAAGATAAACATGTATTTTAATGTTTTTACAAATATTACCATGTTCACTTTTAAGTTTTTAGCTTTTCTTTTTAAAAATTCCTACACAAACATAGGGAACATACTTTGTATCTTAAAGACGGAGGGCGAAGAGTATACTTCTTGTTTACAAAAGAAACTGTTACTATATAACATGTAATAAAAAAGGAACATTTAGTATAGTAAAAAGCATGTCAAGTTGGGTGTGGTGGTCCCTGCCTGTAATTCTAACGCTCAAGAAGCTGAGGGTAAAGGATCTTTTACGTTCAAGGCCAGCCAGCTTGGGTAATTTAGCAACAACAACCTCAAAATTTAAAAAAATAAATTAATTAATAAAAATAAATAAATTTTATATATATATATATAGGGCCGGTGGCATGGAATCACGATGTAGCTTAGTGACACAGTGTTACAGTACTCCTGGAATCAATCTCCAGTGACCCTACCACCAAATAAATAAATAAATAAACCCATGTCATATCTTCCTTTAGGTTAAAAGAAAACTATTAGTAACTTTATAACTGTAAAAAAATAAAATAAAATTTTAAAAAATCCTCTAGCTGATCTTGTTGTTCAAGTGTAGTAAATCAAAGAATATAAATTTCAAGGTTAGGGAAACAAAGATCTAGGCTCATTATTAGCCAGCCACATGCTCCAAATGGGTAACTATATTACTGATTTATTTCATAATGCAAACAAAGTAATGTTTTCAACTGAATTAATACTTAGAACTCAGTATACTTGTTGTGTTAAACTCATGAATATTTAACATTGTTCAAACTCAGTATTTTATGGAGAATTATTTTTTTCCTATATAAATAAATGGAACAAAATAAAAGTACTGAGAAATTAATAATAAAATTCAAAGCTTTAAATGAGTACAGTGGTTTATCTTTAAGGCTCCCTTCCAGGTATCTGGCCAAATAACAATTAGCTTTGGAAGTGAACCCTCTGGTGGTAAAAGTGAAGACCTACAGCTTATGATCAAATCCATCATTCTCAAAGAGGAAAGCCCTCAGCCCTCAAGATCACTTTGGAGAAATAAGAAATGAAGTCTATATGCCCCCAAACATCCTAACTTTTAAAGTAAACATAAGAATGTTTATATTTACTGTCATCCCAAATCAAGATCTGAAATCTTATATTTTATTGGTTTAGTCAACATTTAGTTACAAATTTAATTAATAATAGTCACAAAAATTTTGTGAACAAAAGAAATTTTAACCCTAAGGAGTAGTCTAGTAGCTGTGAAAAATCAGTGTCATAGGCAAGAATAAGAATGAAGAGGAATGCCAATCAGTTATGTAGAGATTCTACTCAGTCTTTAAAACAGGGTTTCTCAACACTAGCACTAATGACACACTGGGCTGAATTATTCTTTGCTGTAAAGGGCTAGACTAGTTTCCTGAGCCTGCTATTAAAATTACCATAAATGTGGCATTTTTAAATAACCAAAATATATTCTCTCAAAGTTTTGTAGCCCAGAAGTGTGAAATCAGGTTCACTCAGCCAAAATTAAGGTATGGGCAGGGTAACTATCTCTGGAGATTCTAATGAGGAATCCATTTCTTGCCTGTTCCAACTTCTAGTGGCTGCCAGCATTCTTTGGCTTGTGGCCACATTCCTATAAATTTCAAAACCAGCATCTTCAAATTCTCTGCTGTCTAAACATTGTGTGTATCAAATTTCTCTCTACCTTTCTCCCATAAGAAACTTTGTAACTGCATTTAGTCCTCACCTCAGTGATCCAGATCAATGCTACCATCTCAGGATTGTTAAATTATCCACAAATACCCACAATCTCACTTTGTTCTTTTTTGCCATAGAAAGTAACATTGACAGGTTCCAGGGAATAGGACTTGGATCTCTGTTGGGAAGCCATTTTTTTTTGCTTTCTACAGGAGCTCTCCTGTATACTGTAGGATGTTCAGAAGCAGTCTTACCTCCACCTATTAGATGCTGTTAACCATTACTACCCTCTAAATTGTGACAGTCAAAAATATCTCCAGAAATTGTAAAAATTACCCCTAGTTAAGAACCATGGCCTTTGTTATTATCAACTAACAAAATGACCAACAAGTGACATGTTAGCTAGTTAAAATTGACTTATATATACAAAATAGACATGCTAAATTTAAACATTATCCATAAGTTAGTTTCCTTTGATCTTTCTTAGTGCCTATCACATGATTGTGTATACTTTAAAAGAATCTTGCTGGCTCACAAATCCCCTTCTGAATCGGATTTTCTTTTCCTGATATGTCTGAAGACCTATATATGTTGTGGTGGTCCCTGCCTATTATTCTAACACTCAAGAGGCTGAGGGTGAAGGATCTTCTAAGTTCCTTCACTGAATTCAAACATTATCCTTAAGTTAGTTCCTTCCATGTACCTTTTATCTGTTCTCCACCAATGTATTTTTAATGCTTCTATAATACAAAAATCCAATATAAGTAAATCTAAACAAAAATCTGCTATCTTAAGTTAAATACCATATATTTATTCAGAAAACAGCTTTGTAACAGACCAATTTGTAAAGTATTCTGTTTTACTTACTTTTCATTATATCTAGTAACTGTGACAAGCAAGTTCTATTTTCTCTCAGCATTAGACTCTCTGATAAATAACTGGCAAAGAAAAAAAAAAACAGTTTCAATCTACTGAAAACATACAGCATATTAGAAAACTTGACATTATAAATGGTTTGCTTCTAGGTTCATTTCTTTATCAAAAGCAATTTTTAAATTAATATATTTTTTAAATATTATATAACCCTTTGAACTCCATAAAAGTATAATTTATAACAATTACAGTCTTAAGGATTTATTACAACTCATTTGAGCTTAAAAATATTCACTATTCAAAGTTAACTAATTCAAATTTTATAATGCAGAGGGAAAATAGTAAGAAAACAGCAATAAGAATCAATATTTATAATGTTTATATTATCTGATTTAGAATTTCTGTAAGTCTAACTTCATTTGATGGATAAGGAATTTTAATTATAGGGATGGACAAATCATGACCTTGTATTTCACCAAGTCATAAAGCTTGTTACCTAATAGACCTAGAATTTGGCATTAGTAAGGATTTTCTCTTTGAATATCAAGATCATGTTACCTATAATTGTACTTCTAAGGAATAAAAGGCATTCAAACCAATGACAATATCACCCCATGCTTTATAAATCTATTACATCTTATTTGTATCAAGTCCAATCAAAGGTGTCAGTGCTTTTCCATCAATGTGATACAAAGCCTAATTATATGTTTTTCTAAGAATCACTATACTAGTATGAAAATACAATTTGTATGTTTAAGTTTTTACTTAGTCTGAAGTTTAATGTACCCAAAATTGGTCTATAGTTCGATAAAAGCCCAAGTGAACAGATTCTTAAAGCGTAAATCTTTGAAACGTAAGTACAAAAAAGTTTTTCCCTTGGGAAAAATAGTTAAAAAACCACTTTAAGAACTGCTATCGCTATTCAGATTATTTAAACTTTATTACAAGGTTTAACACCATCTTGTAAATTTGATATTATATCTTCATTGTCTATTATGGGAACTAATTTTGGATATGGAAATCAATAACTTTTTTGACAATTAATGCATTTCTGGTCATAAGTGATTCAAAATAACTAGTCATTCCCTTTTGCCTTCTTTTTGCCATCTTTGTTTCTTTTTATTCCTTCTCCTCTCAATTTCTTTTTTTTTATTCATTTTTTTTTTGTTGTCAATGGACCTTTAGTTTATTTACTTATATGTGGTGCTGAAAATCCAACCCAGTGCCTCATACATGCTAGGCAAGAGCTATACTACTCAGCTACAACCCCAGCCCCTCCTTTCAATTTTTTAAGCTTAAGAGTGATACACTTGGTTTTGAGAGCTGGCCAGACTCTTTAAATCTAAGAAAGTTTTTAAACTCAATCTCAATTCTGAGTTGGACTTTTAATATTTAATTTGTTAAAAATCCACAGGCAAATAAGAATACTTAACAAATCAAACCAGTAAATGTGAAATAAAGTTCTATATCCACTGAAAAGAGAACCCCAAAATAACATTCTATGAGTAGTCATTTGAGGCACTGTCCCAAATGTAAACAATATCACAAGAGCCTTCCTGTTAACCAATAAATGTAAATGGCAATTCTGACATCCCAAAAGATTGCCTGTAAATCACTTTTAAGTTTATAATGAATGGAAGTATTTCCCTAATAGGGGAAAAATGCTCAATGTCTACAGTCCTTGAGAAAGTCATAAAAGCTATTTAAGCTGCAATGAACCAGGGTACCACAATTTCATTTTTTTCTCTTTGGAATTATAACTAAACTAAAAATGTAATCTGGACCTTAGAATGCTTAACTAAAAATATCACTACATAACTCCCACATCACTAAAATCTCACCCCCCAAAAAAACCTGCAGTATACACTGAATAAGATGCTTCAACAGATTAAATGACTTTTGGCTATCTAAATTGTGGGAAAAAAATGAAAGTTCCACACCTAAACTCCATAAATATCAACGATTTACATGGCTATCTTTCCTAAGTAGGGCAAGGATTTATATCTTGTTCATTTTCACACTCCTAAAATGTAGTACAGTTCACAATAGGACCTCGAAAGCAGTTAATAAATGTTATGGCTGAGTAAACAAATGGAGTATAAATAATTTTATGATTAAATGTACATACTTATATACAGACAGTTGCTTAGTTCTTCTTTGCAGAGAAGCAAACCATAAATTTAAAAAAATAAGCCCACAATCCCTTATTTTGAATGCAGATGTATTTTAAAATTTAGAATTATTCATGTTTTAGAAAAATAACCTGGTATATACTATGATATGTGAAATACCTCAGAGATGTCTGAGGCAAAATCCTTTATTCTGCAAGGAAACATAAATACTCCTACTAAGTGGGGTAATAACTGAATCACATTTGTTCATGCTTGCTACCACCTCATTTGGACTTCAAAATTCTAGATACATAAACATATAAAACAGTTAAAGTTTAAAACGTTTTATCTTCCTTCCTCAGCTATTTCTAGGAATAAAGCCACAAGAATTTTAAAGATCATGAATAAAAAAAAATAAAGAAAGTAAAAAAATAGTCTAATTTGGTAAGCAACTGGAGTAAAGCAAATATGTCTGTTACATCATTATTCCTCCTCTCCAATTAAACAAATTATAACCAGAGTACTGGTAAATTCATTTATGGACATAATCTATAACATTTAATTAATCTTTACACAGAGTACCATTGTGAGAATCAAGTGATTTTAATTCACATAAAGTGCTTATCATACAGCCTGGGTCTCGGTGGGTGTGTAATTTATTTGTTAGCTATTACTATTTATGGTTCAATTATAATTTATTTGGACATCATCTAAAGTATTATTCTTTCCACAAACCTTTACTGAATTCCATGTTTCACATATGCTTCATAGCAGAGCAGTAACGATTAAAATAAAGCAAATACACTTGCTATATTCAAGTTGTTTACCAGTTTGTAAACTTATAGATTCTCCATATACTAATAAGTATATCAATCTTTCCAAGATTACCTGTTTTACTTTAATCATAAATGTATTTTCTTAATTCAACCATACTTTGCTTAATTCTTAGACTTCTTTAAAAGGCAACTGATCTCATTTCTTCCCTCATCAACTTTTTCAGAGGCTACAAGGAATATACAGAACTAGAATCACAAGTGGACCTTACTTAAAAACTTAAACTCCAGTAAGAATTAAATCAAGTGACTGAATCTGACCTAAGGTAAAACACAAATTAATACCTTTCCATAGCAATCCCAGCCCTGGAGGCACTAGATAATATGGCAGTCAAGGCAATTTGCGAAGGTGTGTATAAAAGATAAGCATCAGTCAATGCAATTCTATTAAGAAAGTCATCAGCTGTTTTCCTCAAAATCTCTGGATTCTCCAGCATGGGATAACGGGTCTAGAAATAAAGTTTGCAAAAAATGTTACCATTTCTGTTTAATAGAGTACTTAAAATTCAAAAATATTTATATTGACTAGAAAGTGTTTAATACAAATGCTAAAGAACTCCTTTTCTGTATACCACAACAAGAAATGAATTTTTAATATGAGATTGTTTTGTATGCACTATTAGAATGAATAAAATTTAAGCCAATAAATTCTGAATATCAAACAACATGTCTTCTCTGATATTATCCTTTAACTCAGTGATTTTCAAACTTTTCTGAATACCTCAGTAAGAAATATATGCTTTAAGATAACATCAAGTTCCCAGCACAGTAGCACTTGGTGCTATTTTAAATTTATGTTAATCCCTTCTCTTTACCCTTTTCCACCTGAGATTCAGATTCTAGAGATTCAAGTAGATTTAAAGTAGATCCAAGAAATGCATATTCCCAGGTAGACTTTCCAAGTGATCCAGGTGATTCAGATAAAAGGCCATATTTAGGAATCATGTCACCATATTTTGATAGGAAATTTCTTCTAAAGTTTACTTTAATGATTCTTGAATCTACTAGACTTCTCCAAAAACATACGGAATTATTTTTAGAATAGGCCCGAGATATATGGAAGACCTTATATTTCCTGATAATTCCTCATATCCTTTAAGATTAACTCTAAATCCTAAACCCTCTTATTAATAACAGATCTTCATAATCAAGACCTCAAACAGTACGAAATCTGTCTATACTTGGAAACAAAATATCCAGAGTTTTAACTGTGTAGTCCACACAGGCCTATCATTATCCCAAGATGCCTGCCCTGATATGATGATACACTCTACTCTGAGCACTAATGTTCTTTCCCCAGTACACTGGCTTAATACTTAACAGCAAAAGTCTCCCTGCTCAGAATCTCTGGTCACACACATCCCTGTAATTGATCCCACTTACCAGTGTTCTCTAGTCCCCACTTCCTTCCTGAATTCCCTTCTCCAATAGATTGCCAACACATTTCTACTTAACGTCAACTGTTATTTGATTGCAAACAACCTTCTGTTCTGCAACTATACCCAGATTTCTGGGTAGTACCAAAAAAAACATACAGCCAGAAGTCTGATAATGTTACTAAAAATTCATGTTTCATGACTATGTTAAGTTTCTTTACACTACCAAGCAGAGATAATATTTTCATAGAAAACTTTTTTTCCAATTTTTCAGTGAGTATGGTCAACATTTCCATCTGTCTCAATGTCTGATAATTCTCAGAAACTCGATCATTCTCAGAAAATTATTTTTGCTCTTAACAAAGAAAGGCACTATTTCCTGCCACTACCAAATTCTCAGGCCTAACAATATCCTCATCCATACTTTCTTTTTCTTTTGTTAAAAGGAAGGGCTATCATTCCTTCCAATGCTAATTCTTCCTTGCATCCCAGGCCAACCCCTTCTTCCTTGCTCCAAAAGAGAAACTTGAGCTATATAGTTTCCATTTTTCCTTTAATCTTTCTCTCACTATTAGTTCCCTAGATTAGTATTGAAACATGTATTAGTCTCTTCCACAAAACAAAAGCATTTCTTCTGTTTCTACCAGTTACCACATTTTCTCAATCCTTTTTCCACTTCAAAGAGCAACTGTTTAATTCAAATTACATATTCAGTTATGTGCTACATAACAATTCCTTCAGTGATAAACCACATATATGATTATCGTCTCAGAATATTATTATGGAGCTGAAAATTCTTATCATTTAGTCATTTCACAGCTGTTATAAAGTCATAGCATGATGCACCACTTTCTGGTGATGCTGGTATAAACAAACCTACTATTGAAAGAGTTACTTAGTTCCTCATATTATTTACACTGACACACAAGAAGAGAGAAATTCAGGATTATTAAAGGTTATAAAATTCTAGATTCTTTAAAAGAATAGGAAGTAGTATACTCACTAGTTTACTTCATATAATAAGTTACCTTTATATCAATGAGGAAGCCCTCAAACGGTCTATAAGGATTGTGAACAATAAGATGAAAATTAAGCTGTTGTATAAGGAGTAGCTCGTATTCCAAAATCTGTTCCAGTGCCTTCTCCTGTCCAAGAGGACTCTCCCGAAGGTTCCCAACAAACTGAGGACTAGACACATTGAATTCATCTACTTTGCAAGCCAAAAATGCACAAGTAAGCCTACAAGAAAAAATAAGGGAGAGTGAAGGTGCATGCATATACTTTTGAGAAATAGCTAAATGTTTTAGTTCTAAAAGTACTTTCTAAAATTGCCTAATATTCACAAGTCATTACGTTAAATATTGCAGAAAATTAGTGGGGGGGAGGGGGAGTTCCTCTTCAACTTCTATCCATTAGCATTCATAAGACAAACTATAAAATCAGGTTGATCTAATATTGCCATGGCATTCGGCCATTGACTCAATGGTAGTTTCAAATAGTTCAACCTCAAATCTGGAAAAAAAATAATTGAGAAAGAACAGTAGTTTGTATCATGAAATGTAGATAAAAGAGTTAAAAACCAGAACAGTATACATGTATGTACCATATGACTATGGAGTTAAAAAAGAGAACAGTATATATGTATGTACCATATGACTATGGAAAAAAGATTTAAGTTAAAAGAACATTTCAGGGCTGGGGTTGTGGCTCAGAGGTATAGTGCTTGCCTAGCTCGTTTGAGGCCCTGGGTTCAATCCTTAGCACAATATAAAAAAAATTAATAAAGGTATTAAAAAAATAAAAATAAAAGAACATTTCAGAAGGCCATCAGTAGAAATTTCTGAAGTCATCTGAGTAGTGGATGATGAGTTCATGGGCAAACCTATAAAATTCAAGTGGTGACTATATGAGTTCAGAGTCAAAAACCAGAAGAAAGCTCCTGCAGAGAGCTTTTGGAAGTTCCAAAGGATCAAAGACCTGAGCTTGACAGGTAGGAATGGGAATGAAAAAGAGAAAATAAGTAGGAACAATGTGATTTTAAAGTCTTGAGTCTCATACTATTTTTATCTTCATTAAAGAGCACCATGCTTAGCAAAGCAGAAACAAAACAGACCTCTGTTTAACTAAAGTTAAAATGAAGTTACAAGATCTGTAGACTGAATGGGTGGGGACAGCAAGGCATCACCACAAATGATTCTCAGCTTAGCAACTGAAAGAACAAAAGTGTCACTAAAAAAAAAAAAAAGCAGTATTAAGGAAATAGTTTGAGAAAAATAATGTGAATTTGGACAAGTTCAGATGCCATCTATATTATAGGAGATAAAAGTAAATAAGGATTTTAAATTCTGAATATGAAACATGAATGCCAATCTAAATTGCCTTAGTGAGAAATTCCCTAGTCCCTCTGCCCCATCCCCCGTCTCTTACATATACACACACCTCACACACAAATATTCACACAGTATAAAGGTCTTTAATGAAAATAACAAACTTATACTCACATTATTATCCGTGGGTGATATTCCATTACAGAGTTATTTAGATAAAAACGCTTGAAATACATGCAAGCTGTACCCTAAGGTTAAAAAAAAATATACATATATATATTATCAGGCTCTATTGGCACATGATACATGATAAATTTTGTGAAAAAGAACTTATTTGTGCAAAGGTTTCTCTGAAAATGCTCTCCAGACAAATATCAATAACTGCTAATTTTCCTTTAATCAAAATAAATTGTGATTAAGTATTATGAAAATTTCATAGTTAGAAGATTCTTTCCCACCCTTTGGCCATCTGACATCAAGCCTTCTAAGTAATCCTTATGGTCACTGGATTTTAAAACATATATATTTATTTTAGAACTAAGGAGTTCAAAAAAGTCTAGAGTCAGAAAAATACAAATGGTCACAAATTAACTAACCAATGTTGGAAAAGTCCTAACAGAAAATCATAGTTGGTACAATAAACCTGCTCTCAATCCACTAATCCAATAAGATATGACATAGGAGATCTGAGATATAACTGTGATCACTGCTGCTGAAATGAACTGTAAAAGCAGCATCTACTATTTACTGAATGTGTCCCACTCTGTGCCAAGCACAAAACTATCATTCTATTTTAATCCTTACAACAACTTGGTGAAGTATTACTATGTCTACAGAAAAAGAAACTGAGAATCAACCAGGTTAAGTGATTTATTCAGATAGCTAATAATGAACAGGGCTGAATTCAACGAAGAGCTGTCTATATTTTTAACAAACATGTTATTTGGCTAGAACTACTGAAATAACCATTTAATCTACTTTATGACAGAAAAAAAGAATATTCATTTCAAATATTTTTTTAAAAATTTTGTCATTTTATATAAAAAATTCTTCACCAGTCATAAACATGTTGCATAAAGACAAATTCTACATAAGTTAATTTAAGGATTGCTTCTTCATCCTAAAATCACTTATACCAACTACTTCATTTTATACTTCCTTTAACAGCAAAGAGCCAAATTTCAAGATAGAAACTAACAAAGTATTCTAAAATTCTTTGTGAATCTTTAATATCTCAGATAAAGATCTGTGAGTTAAGAAATAACAAATATTTTTGAACTTATATTTTAATATACTTCAATTTTTTTTTCAACTATAAAAATGAAGACACCTAACGAGAGATTCTATACTGGGTCATAACTTTAACACTTAATATATATTGACTTTTGTATTTGAGCTTCACAACAAACCCCGTGAGATAATAAGCAAGGTAAAAATGTTTTATACACTCTTCCACTCTGGCTTTTGTCATTATCATTCTGCTTTTTAATATAAGCTACCTATTTCTCCTTACCATTGTCTTCCCCATCAAAAACAAACAGGGATCTCAGAACTGTATCTACGAAACAACCAGAAGACAATTTCTAAATCAAAGATAAATCCCCAGCTTCTACTAATGAAGGTTTTAAAAAATTTATGGCATGAGTTTCAACTGGGACATGATTACTAACTATTGCATTATTCCAATGCATTATTCCAATCATATATTGAGTGTGATAGAATTGAAAAGTACTAATCTTTGTTCCGAATTCTATTGTTCACTAGTTGAGAACCTGGAGAGAAAATGTATCTTTTTCTTTCTCTATAAAATAAGGATATTATGGCTTACCCAGACCTCAAAATTCTATAAGATTTGAAATACTTTGCAAGATATGATACAGAAACTCATAATTTAAGGGTTTTATTGAAAGATATGATAAAAACTAAACAAATACAACCTAAGATGAATTTTTTCAGATTAGAGGGAATAGGGAATTTAGAAATTTAGAAAAGGTCAGATTTCATAAGCCAGGTAAAGGACATCATACTTCATTACTATAATAACTTACCACAACAGACCTTGGCATTGCAGGCTTAAACACTGAACAGAATTCTAGTAATCTTTTTTCATAGTATTTGCAGAGTGTCATTTCTTCGTGAGGTTCAAGAAAGACTGGATCATTTGGAAGAACCTTTAGAGCAGAAATTACAATATAAATTCAGTGAATTAACTGTAAAACTGTCTTCTGTTCAGATTAAATTAGGTTTATAACTGCAACAAAGGAAAATATGCCACCCACCATTCTCTTTATAGATTTGCTAAGCATAGCACAAAATATCTTTATAAAAATACCGATGAACTAAAACTATACCATTTCACATGTAAGCTGGACGTTGCTTCATGAATACATAAACAATCATGATACAGTATATGCTTGCAGGTTTAATGTCATTAATTGTAAATTCAAAAGAAGACACACCTTTTTCATGGATGGAAAGTTTTCAGCATCCTTTGTCAATCACTGTCACATGAATTGAGATTAAAAACAGCAAATATCTCAGTAAATTTCTATGATTTTAGTTCCCAGTTCTTAGAGATTTTTTTTTTTAAAGCCATCCCTAACAAAGTAATACAAGTACTAAAATATGAAATCAGTTAAGTGTAAAAGGAGCTCAATAGCAACAGGCTTGGAGGCATGGAATGGGTAGGGGGACTTGTAAGAGAGATTAAAAAGGAGGCTGAGGGCTGTACAGGGAGTTGGCTAGGAGGTCACATTGCAAAACATCTTCAAATGGTTTGAAGGTTTCCTGTCTTACTCCCTCAAGAAATCCACCTCCAGGTTGCCAGAGGGCTCTTTCTATAACGAGGACCTGATATGATTACCCTCTCATTTAAAATCTTTCAAAAGTTCTCCATAGTTTCTGTATAAATTTCAAAGTCCTTACTTGGGCTTAAAAATTTCTTGCCTATTTAGGCTATTGCTGCACAGGTACTCAGTTTCAGCCAAATGTCCTCAAACATTCCATGCACCTGCCATGCAGCTTTTGATTTTCCACTCTACTAATGCGGCTGTTTGTGGCGCATGTTCTTTTCCCATCTTCTTCCCATCAACTACTGGGAAAAGCTTTCCCCGACATCTCTGACAAGTAAAAGGCTCTTATCCTCCACTGCCTCAGCATCTATGGTCTGTTCTTCGCCATTTTACAAAGACGTAGTCAGCCTGCCTCTCTACTGTGGGGACTGCGTTGCTAGTCCCCGTACCCACCGAGCCTGGCACAATGCTCGCCTACTTATTGGATAAACACACTCCGCACCGCGGAGGCGGAGGCGGAAGCGGGAGTGAGAGGTTGCGTTGGAAGCCCAAAGAGCTCCGCAACTGCTCAAAGTTTTGAGGCCGGGGCAGAGCGGGTGGCCGCCAGAGACCTCACCTTCCCGTTTGCCACCACTTTGCATTTGAATTTGCGATTAGCGTCGGCCCGCAGACGCGCCAGCTGCTCCTCACTGGCGAAAGTCCAATGTCTCTTTTGGCTGCTGTTGTGGTACATCTTAGCGTCCAGGCCCAGGCCCAGAAGGAAGGTCTGGACAAAAAAATAATAAGAATAATAATAATCACAGCAACACCTTAGTGTCAAGCAGACGTGACTCCACCAGGATCCCGCGGAAGCCTGGGGCGTCAGGACGGCTGGCGCGGGCGCGCTGACGTCACGACCACGTGCTGAGCCTGCTGACAGAGGCGTTTCCGGAGCCGTCTAAGAGGGGAGTGTCTTCGGTGTTCTTCGGCCGGCAGCTGATGACACAGGTGGGCGGAGCCTAAGGAGCCGGTTGTTCTGGTCTGTGAGTCCTTAACTTAGCTCCTCCCCTTAACCCCTCCCCTTTCAGGATTTAAAGAAACGACAGGCAAGGGTGTCCAAATGGGATGTAGTAAATTGGTTGGAGTAGGTTGACATAAATTCACATTAGGTAATAAGAAGTGGGAAAAAGCTTGGAGAGTGTCAATGTTTAAATATTGACCTTAGAGGGAAAATTACATTTGAGCAAAAGTTTGAAAGAGTTAAGAAAGTAGCAGGCCTATTGGTTATCTGGAGGGATGTGGAGGAGTTGAGGGGAGTGAGAACTGTAAAGGTCCTAAGACAGAAGCATTCCCAGCGCTCTCTCTCTCTCTCTCTCTCTCTCTCTCTCTCTCTCTCTCTCTCTCTCTCTTAATATTTACTTTTTAGTTGTAGTTGGACACAATACCTTTATTTATTTATTTTTATGTGCTGCTGAGGATCGAACCCAGGGCCTCGCACGCGCTAGGCAAGCATTCTATTGCTGAGCCACAACCACAGCCCCACTCCCAGCTCTTTTAAAGATGGGTGTGGCAGCCAAGGAAGGAAGAATTCTTGGACCACTAGGAGAAATCTCTGGGAATGGAACATGGTTGGAAAACTAAAAACAGTGGACGTGACTGGTCCTTACTGTTCTGCTGCTAAGGTGGCCCTGTACTTTCCCCCTTACCTTTCTGTTGATTATTAGCCAATCCTCTCCCCGTTTCTATCTTTGAAGTCAAAGTGTATGGTAGTTTTAGTGTTTTATTGAGAGTCCCATCTTCATTATTGCTTCTAGAGAATCTTAGCATTATAAGCTATCATTAATGCTTAAAAGATTTACATTTTATTATGACTTTTAAAAATGCATTTGAGATATAAAATTTATAATGATTCCGAAAGTCTTTACTAGTTTTGACTTTTGTCCCACTTGGGCTACCTTATCTCCTGTGTATTGGGTATCCTGTGTATCTCCTGTATATCAAGTGTATTCAAATATACCAGAAAGATGGATTTTCCCTATAGCAAGAAGTTTTCCTAATAAGGGACAAATAAAAAACAGATAAAAATGACAAAACCTAGAGCCATACAGCGAGGCAAGATGGCAAGATGATGTAATGCTGCCCTCTGTGAAAATGTAGTTAGAGGATTAAGAAAGGGAGAACTTTTTGTTGGATGTAGTTATGAGTAAAGTTTGTCACAGTTATTTGTACTCCTCAAATTTATACCGTTTGTGATTGGTAAAATTGGAGATACATATACTTCTCAAACATTGTTGATAATATGGACTAGTAAATTGGCTAAGAAAATTGAAAGAATGAGAAAATAAGTTGACACTAAAAAGGACATGGCAAGTAACAAGTCCAACAAATTGTGGACAACCTAAAATGTGGCCTAATGGAGAAAGAATAATTTTAAAAGAAGAAAAAAAAATGAAAGGCACAAAAGATGGGCAGAAAAAGAAGTGATCTAAATAAATGAACTTGTGAAATTAGACTCATGACAGCTATGTATATCGAATCAATTCTCTCTCTTTTTTTTTTTTTAAAGATATTTTACAAAACCCTTTTCTTTTTCCAAGGCAAATGAAAAGGGGCATTTGGGGGAATTAGCAGAATATGACTTCCATAGTTATGTGAATAAAATTGGTGAATGTCAATGTCGTAGTTCATTTAGGAAGATAAATATGGAAAAGCCTGTATCACTGCTCTAACTGTATTTGTAAAGTTTAACAAATATTAGTCAATGAAAATTAACATTGACCATATTTTTTCAGGTAGCATGGAGATTGGGCTGTATCTGAACAAACCATCTATAGAATAAAGTTGTTTTTGATGTCATACATTAAGGCTTATATATGATTTATTCTTATTAAAGCAGGCCACAAGGCTGGGGCTGGGCCTCAGCAATAGGGCACTTGCCTGGTGTGTGTGAGACACCACATTAAATAAATAAAATAAAGGTTTATCAACAACTAAAAAAAAATATTAAAAGAAAGAAAAAAAAAAAAGCAGGCTAGATGGTGCATTAGTCAGTTGGCCTGAATGACATTTTCTTGTTGAACTGGTTGAACACTGGTTTGTTTGGTACTTTTACAGCAGAAGAATTTGGTGCCTTTATCTATTGCTGTGTCTACTTCAAGAAAAAAGCATCTAGTATTTCACTCCTATTATGTTTAATTAATTTATTTCTAAAGAAAATGAAGAACATAGAGAAACATATTTCAATAATTGTCAATACATGGCCAATTCCCCTTTATCCTCTACTCCTCACCTATTACCTTTAAGTCACTGCTACTAAATTTCGCTGCTACTAAATGGAAATGGCTGGAACAAATAAAAAAAAAGCAGAATCTAGTCTTCCTGAAAAGTAATATAGAAATTCACAACTTGACAATGAAAATATTGCTATTTCATTACACACTACCCAACAGTGAAATCTTAACAAGAAACATTTCATCGACTTTTAAAAAGTAAACACAATGTCTTTGCACTTCAGTTCTTAAAATATGTTCCAGTATTATTTTTAGTCAGATTCTTAATATTTTGACTGCAAGTATTACATCTAATCCCTAGGTTGCAGAGGTCAGGCTATGCAGAGCAGGTGTCATCTACTGGCCACCACAGACTTGCTTAAAGACAGTCTTTCCTCTTTTTCAGACTCTACTCTAGTTATCTTAATATTTTGGAAACAATGAAAGTAAAAAACTCAGATTTCCTGATGCTCAGAGTAAAGGAAGAAAATGGGAATTAGGAGGGTAAGGGAGAACTGGGCACAGAGGTGTATGCCCATAAGGCCAGCTACTGGAGAGGCTGAGGCAGGAGATTGCCAGTTCAAGACCAACCTGAGTGACATAGGAAGAACTTGTATGAAAAGAAAATATAAGTAGAGGGCAGGGGATGACCAATAATATTTTGAGTTAAATAAAATGTCTCATTCAGTGGCTTGGTTAATTACTTCTTATTTCCCAAACACATTAGCATATTTATGTCCATATAGTTTCTGTTTCAGGGCCACAAAGAAAAAAAAGTGTAAAAATTAACATTGATCACATTTTTCAGGTAGAGTAGGAATGAAAAGGAAAAAAGGTGTACAGGAGAAAATAAACTACATCTATGATCACAAAACAATATCCTTCTTATTTTAAAATCTGACATGAAACCCTAACCTTTCAGCTACTGACTGGGTTTTTGACATTTTAAATAAACCTTTGCAATTAGTTTTCTAAAACCCGAATCCCTTCACAATTCTCAAACACACAATTAACATTGGCTCTAAAATGATATTCTACTTTTATTCCCAGTTGTCAGGATACATCTGAAAAAAAAGTTTCCTATAGCAAATACCTAGTTTCTCTGAAACAGAATGGTACTAAAGGAAAGTAAATAAAAAGGAAAGAGAATATTTTCAAAATATCATTCATCTAGGATTGAAATGCTTTTTCTTTTGTTTTAGGACTATTCAAAATCAAGAAGGCTTGATTGTAAAGAAGGCTTAACAACATACTAAAGAATAACTTCTCTAAAGTCATGTCCAATTCAGCATAAATCACCACTATACTAAAGGCCTGGTACTAATTGTTACATGGTAGTGATGATGGTGATAGGGACACAAAAATGATTATTTCATAATCTCTGCCCCAGGTGTAGCAAAATTAATACAACATGCACAAATACAGTCTCTTTTCAGTGGCAGTGACCTTGGATAGGATTGATAATTATTCTCTCCTTTGATTAAAACTTTAGTCAGGCTTTTCTTAGTTCTTCTCTTGAGGAGTCCTGACCCTGAGCTTCCCTCTAAGTCATTATAGAATCTAGTGTGAGCAAGAATTTCTAAGTCGGTTTAGTGAAAATCTCTAGCCCTTAGAATCTCACCACACTCAATCTCTGATGATCCTTTAGCAATAATACTATCAAGTCTATTTAGCCAGAAACCCCTCATCTTTAATGTTTAATTTTAGAAACTTTTCATCCTGACCCCCACCCAGCTCCAGGCTTATAAATCCCTATTTCTCTTTATTAGAATCAGAATAGAGTCTGATCTCTCTCCTTCACTACAAGACCCCATTGCAGTGATCTCTGTACCTATTTCCATGGCCCCCTTTGAATAAAGTCTGTTTTACAATCTTTCATAAATACTATAATATTTTTTCTTTACTAGGATTCAATAAAGATCTATGTAATAAGATTTTTGATCCCTGAGTGTTGATACTTGATGCCAATATAGGTGAGACCTTTATATGGTTTTAATGCAGTAGAATGTCCAGAGCCTGGTTTATTTAGCTCTAACCAGCCATGGTTCAATGTTAAGACATAGTTCTCCCTCTATTAGCCAGAGGTATGTGGTCAACATGAATGTAATTCTTGCATTAAAAAATATCACTGTTAATCCAAAACACAAAATGACCTTAACTCTGTTACAACCACAATTTAGAGTGATCTATTACTACCTTTTCCATTTTTATATCAATTAAGAATAAATGCAGGGGCTGGGGTTTGGCTTAGTGGTAGAATGTTCGCCTACCACAAGGGGCCCTGCATTCAATCCTCAGCATCACATATAAGTAAATAAATAAAATAAAGGTATTGTGTTCAACTACAACTAAAAAATAAATTTTATTTTTTAAAAAAGAATAAGTGCAGTTATGATACATAACACCACATAATCATTTTCAGTACAGTTTTATAGCAACTTATAGATGGAAAGATTATATTGTGATTCAGTAGATCTAGTATTTTAGAACTCAGGATCTGAAGTCAGAATCACAGCCTCATCACTTGCTACTGTGAGTTGGAAGTCACTTCAACCTACTTAACCCTAAGTTTCATATTTTATTCAGTTATAGCTACCGCATTCGGTGGTTATGA